CCCTCCCTCCCTCATCTTCACCATGCCCCTTTCCAAGTCCACTGAATTGGGGGGGGGGGGAACCTCCTCCCCATTCATCTGATCCTGTTTTATCAGGTATCTTCAGGACTGGCTGCAAAGTCCTCCTCTGTGGCCTAACAGGACTGCACCTCCCTTAGGGGGTGGGGAGGTCAAAGAGCCAGCCATTGAGTTCCTGTTAGAAATAGTCCTTGTTCCCCTTACTATGGGAAACCAATTGTTTACTGAGCTACCATGGGCCACATCCGAGCAGAGGTTCTAGGTTATATCCATACATGGTCCTTGGTTGAATGTCAGTCTCAGAAAAGAGAGGGTGTTTTAAATAAAAAATTGAAGGTAGAACCGTATGAACTTTAAATGATGCAAAAAATTGTGAGGGCAGTTTCAGAGTTGATATTACTTCTCTTAAAATAGTTTATTTTTAAGACAATTAACTTAGCCAGTGAATGATGGATCCTGGAGTTTAGGCTTTAATGTACTGGTATTTCCAGAAAATACAAGTTCATATCAGAACTATGATTTCAAACAGAGTAAAAATATGTTTGTTCATGTTTTCTCTTTATTTCCAAAACCTTTCCAATTCATTAAGATAAAACTCTGGTCATATATATCTCCTTTAAAATCCTTCATTGATTTTTGGTTTGTAATATCAACTCTGAAACTGCCCTCACAATTTTTTGCATCATTTAAAGAGCAGGGGTATTTTTAAGGCAGCTGGATGTGGTGCTGAATGCAACTCTGTCCATACCTCTGAGGTGTAAATGTATCGCAAGTGATTACAATCTAATAGTTTTGCCTCACTGCTAATACAATGGCTCTCGGGGTGTGTTTTGTTTTAACATTTCATAACTGTTTCTTCATACTGTGCTCATGTGGAGCTTATAAAATTCGCAGTCAGATTCAATGAAATTCATATTATTCAGAATTCAAGGGAAATATTTATTGAGGGGAATGTACTGTTGTTTTTCTCTACTCAGCATACTGCAAAGTAAGCTCATGTGTCGGAGGCAGTAAGTTTGTGTTTCAGCTCAAGCCAAACGACTGTTTCGCTACAGTCTGTTATGCCCTTGGGGATGCATTGAGGATTTGAGGAGAATCCTGGTTAACGATAAGAACACAGATACATCTGCCTTTCTTAAGGAAATGTTTGTATGTTCTTCAGAAATCTGGGCTCACTTGAGCAACATATGATGTAGTAGTCCCAGTAATGTGACAATCTGGAGACTGCTTGGGACTGTTAGGAAGCTTTGATAGGGCTCAGGGGATGCTCTGAGGGTGGACTTAGGAGCCAAAAATTAGACATGGAAAGAGAAGCTGTACTTGGCATAGAAATGGAAGCTATTCCTGTAAGCCAAGAGTGACAGAATGTGAGTTTATGGAAGAACAGGCCTGTGAAAGCATTAAGCTTGTATGTTAGGGGGACAGAATTCCAGGCACCAGGAACACTAGCCAAAATGGGACAAGCCTCACACTTCCAGCATGTCGTGTCTGTCTGCCCATTTTCCTAGGTGTGCTTGCTTTTGGTACAGTAAGGTGCTCTGTGCTGTGGTGTACGCTTACCCTCTTGAGAGCATAATAAAACAACAGCAAACAAACCTGTTTTACAGTAAATCTGATGCCAAGAAGTGGAGGCCTTTTCTTCTAGCAATGAACTCCGCATCTCACCTGCCTTCCTTGAATCTTACCCTAAATGCCTCAGAGGACACTTCAGGACCAAATGTCAACAAATCTTCACCCTGTGAAGACATGGGCATTGCCGTGGAGATGTTCCTAACTCTGAGTATCATCAGCCTCATAGAGAACATCCTGGTCATTGGGGCCATAGTGAAGAACAAAAACCTGCACTCACCTATGTACTTCTTTGTGGGCAGCCTGGCAGTTGCAGACATGCTGATGAGCATGTCTAACGCCTGGGAGACCATCACCATTTACTTGATAAATAATAAGCATCTGGTGATAGCCGACACCTTTGTGCGTCATATTGACAACGTGTTTGACTCCATGATCTGCATTTCCGTGGTGGCCTCCATGTGCAGTTTGTTGGCCATCGCAGTGGACAGGTATATCACCATCTTCTACGCCTTGCGCTACCACTACATCATGACGGCACGGCGCTCCTGGGTGATGATCGCGTGCATATGGACCTTTTGCATAAGCTGTGGCATCGTTTTTATCATTTACTACGAATCCAAGTACGTCATCATCTGCCTCATCTCCATGTTCTTCACCATGCTGTTCTTCATGGTGTCTCTCTACATCCACATGTTCCTCCTGGCCCGGAACCATGTCAAGAGGATAGCAGCCTCCCCCAGATACAGTTCTGTGAGACAAAGGACCAGCATGAAGGGTGCCATTACCCTCACCATACTACTGGGGATTTTCATTGTATGCTGGTCTCCCTTCTTCCTACACCTTATCTTAATGATTTCGTGCCCTCAGAACATCTATTGCTCTTGCTTTATGTCTTACTTCAACATGTACCTTATACTCATCATGTGCAATTCTGTGATCGATCCTCTGATCTATGCCCTCCGCAGCCAAGAGATGCGGAGGACCTTAAAAGAGATCATTTGTTGTCATGGCTTCAGACAAACTTGTAGGATCCTTGGCAGCTATTAAACACCTTCCCCTCTCTGGGCCTCTTGTCTCTCGGTCAATTAGGTTTAGTCAGGGGATGAGCAGGGTCTTGAAGAATCCCAAATGTATTCTCCTTTATCTCTTTTGCAGCTCGAAACTTTTTTTCCCCTTCTGTTTTTAAATCTATGGTCATTGTGTATCCAAAGTCTGACATGTGGATCATCTCCGTTCTGAGAACGGGCTGTGACAATTGTCTCTCTACATCTTACTCTTTCTCTACTCCCCATCCCATTTTTAGGAGGTTTCACCATCCTCTACCTGTCCTGGTAAGTGACCTCACATCCTGGGTGAACCTTTATTGAAAGAAACACTGCGGAGGTCTGTGTCACCATGAGTGACTTCATTTGTTTTTTTGTTTTGTTTTTCTCATGATGTGGTTCATTTTTGTTGAATGTACCTTTTGTATTCTTTTCAGTAATGGCAAGACGTCCAGCCCCTTTTCATTTGAAATTTCTGTTTTATTTGCTATGATTGTCTCTACAGATCTCCTATCCTAGACTTCTGGTTTTTGGCTTGTCATTAGAATTGTCTGAGGACCAGCCTTAACTACTACATGACTATATATGTGCTATACTATACACACACACACACACACACACACACATATATATGTATAGTATGCTATATATGTCATAGTTTTGGACTTACTCAGACATAAAAAGTCTATGCTACAAACTTTGCTTTGTGTTGTGAAAGTTCCTATGACATTCAGTGTCCTGTTTTGACTCAATTCAGCATTCCTGTGAAATGTTTTGGGGTCACGTCAGGGGCTCTAGGTACATACTTCACTCCATTTAGCACATGGCCATAGTCAAACTAGATTGGTTTTCTCACACATAGTCTTTCAGCATCTCTTGGTGTCTGAAACTCTGTCACTGTATGCTTCGCAGTGTCTTAACCTGCCTCTAGCAACCATTTTAAAGGCCCAGTCTACAGCAAAGAAATAGCATTTTCTCCAGTCTGAAATGGAGGAAAGGAATACAAGCTCAGGCCCTAACTATGCCATCACCAGCCATGTATGTGTCCTTAATTTCACCACATCTGTGCTGACCTCCCAGGATGGCCGAAAGAACTACCTGAAAACTGAAAAAAAAAAAAAGGGGGGGGGGAGAACTTCTTGTAAAATTTGAAAAATATAGAAGAAATTTAAAAGTACTGATCCACATGGGATAATGAAAACAAATCTGAAAGAAGGACACAGGCGTTAGTGGCCAGAGCAGTGCTGTGGATGCCAAGAGACTCTCAAGTCCCAGTGTTCTCATCTGAAATGAAGGGGATGAGTCCCTACTGCTCGTAAGTTCCATTTTGCAGTAGGATCTTGGTATTAGTGTTTCTTTTGTTAGATACTTGTCATCTTGACTGTTTCAAAATGAAAGAAAAAAATGTAAATAAAACAATGAACATACAAGTCATCCCATAGTGAACTACTGGTATAAAAGGGGCCTTTTCTACAGAAGAATTTAAGAAGAGAAAACCTTTGTTTGTTTGGGTTTTTTGTTTGTTTGTTTGTTTTTCCAAGATAGGGTTTCTCTGTACAGCCTTGGCTGTCCTGGACTTACTTTGTAGGCCAGGCTGGCCTCAAACTCACAGAGCTCCTTCTCAGTCTCCCAGAGTGCTGGGGTTACAGGCATGTTCCATTGCACCTGGTGCAGAATAACTTTTGAGTACAAGTGCATAATTAGCTTGTGGGCACAAGCACCTACTCCTCTAAGAGCTCAGTATAGGAAAAAAAAAAAAAATGGTTCTGGGATTAACAGCAAAGTAGTGAGATGTCCAAATCGTTACAAGATGGCAAACAAGCAGGTTGTTTGCAACTGATCTGAAAAGAGCCTCTAGCCTTTCAAAATGTGTCCTGTTCGTATTTGCTGAATACTCGCAGGCAGGAAGTAAAAGTTCTCATTGTAACCATTACAGGAAGCGGAATCAAGTGCTGCCGTGGATGTCACAGGGCTATGGGTTGTCTGCAGGCTTCCTCACCTCTGTCCTAGGCAAGCTCTTGCAGGGTTTGTAATTTCTGTGTTGAATCTTGTGACTATCATCCTTGAGGATCAAGCAAGGTGATTAGAGTTGCAGTCACAGGGGTAGAAGGCGACGTTGATCTCGGTTACACTGCTCATCTCAACACTCAACTCTCACTAGGCTAATTCTCTGCTCTGGGTGCTAAATGACTCCTATAAATTCTGACCTTTAGATTAGTGTATTTATGAACGCACTGGACTACATTTTAATCTCTAGGTAAACAAAATAGCCTTTGTGTTCAAATGTGGGTACATTTAGGAAAATACATGCATATGGTAACTTGTTAAATATATGCAAATAAGCCAACCTCTGGCACTCAAAATGAAGTCCCTTTAACAGGAAAAGAACACACATGCATGTCAGACATGTGGCATTGCATGTTAACTTATGTTTCTGTGGGAAATATATTTGCTGTAAGTATGTGTCAGAGAAATCGTTAGTGAAGTACAAGTATGATTCAATTAAAACATACTATTAAATATATATATAATTAATAAAATGGATGGACTAAACTGTACATTTGAATTGGTCATTCAGATATGTGAGATTTGGAGCTTTTTTGTTTGTTTGTTTTATTTTATCTTTCTGGAAAGTTTCTGGTAGGTATTACCAAATGAGAATGTACATACATTGTTGAATTTCACTTCACAGGATTTATTGCCTATAGTACTGATATTTGAAGTTATGTTAATCCTACAAATAAAATAAAATTTGTACTTGACTAGATATTGTTGAAAATATGTCTTAGTATGTAATTATTTTGGGGCTATCACTTATTATGAGCTCAGTGTGGGGCTGGAAGTACTGGCTCTCAGAGAACTTCTGTCACCCACGAGTCAATGACATGAGCTGTGCCAAGACATAAATATTTCAAGATATATGAAAACATGGACACACTTCAGGAGACTTTATATAGTTAAATGCAATTTGTTCAGTCCTGGGTTATGAAATGACACTTCCAGGCTTTAATGGCAGCTCTTTTTGGCAGATGGGAAGGTGAATAGTTGAGCTTTGAGTAACTGAGAAATATCCCAGGTTGCTCTAAGTCCATAAAAGAGCAAGGCCAAGTCAATCCTTCTGCCTTAGCCTCCTGAGTGCTGAGCTTATAGGTGTGTGTTGGCATTCTCAGCTAGGATTTTGTGTTTCAGCAAGCTTCCAAATGCCATTGGTCCAAGGTCCTACCTTAAGAAACTCTGGTTCTCAGGTAAAAGCAAGGTCGAATGACAACAGTTTATTGCTTGTTTCCCTATCATTACTACATGCTAAAAGCAAATTAGCAAGAGTCCCTTACAGCTCTTCAGAGACCAGATTGTTCAAGGTCTAATGCCTGGCTCATACATGCAAGTTTCTTTTTTAGCTCATTTTCACTTCTAATTTCCAGGTGGGCCAGGAATTCCTCTGTGCCTGAACACTCACTGTTGGTGAGCAGTGCCTGTGGTACACTCATCATGATGCCAGGTGTGCCACAAGCGTCATTGTACGTTTAAGGAGCGTTAGGCCCAAAATAATTATCAGGGCTGTGCGTGTGAATTGGACACATTGTGTAGTTAATAAATTCACATAGCACGGCCTTACATACCTAGAAGGAAGGGTTTGTTCCACTCCTGCACCGAAGAGAGCAGGTACCACAGTTTCAGGATGTGGCGATTGTGGCGATGAGTTCGGAAAACCTTCTAGGCAATCAAGGTATGTCTGGTTCTTTCCTCCTTTCTCATTAAGAATTACTTTCATGTGTAAAGGAAGTCGACATATTAGACCTAGCAAAGTGAAGAGAGATGAGTGCGTAAGCCTGTGTAAATCCTTGAAGAGTGAGTTGAGATTAAACAGAGGAGAGGGGAGCGCGGGGTAGCGAAGCCATCTGATTCTAATCAAGGCAAGACGGGAAGATTACTAAACTGTGGCTCAAATCAGAGACAGGTTCTGTGGTCTTTGTAAAACAAAGAGAGTAATCTGTTTTATGACAACTTGATATGGGCTAGAGTCATCTGAGAAGAGGGAACACCAATTGAGAAAATGCCTCTACAAGATTGGGCTGTGGCAAGCCATGGGGAGCAAGCCAGTAAGCAGCATCCTTCCATGGCCTCTGCATCAGCTCCTGCCTCCAGGGTGCTTGCCCCGTTTGAGTTCCTGTCCTGCTTTCCTTTCCTGATGCACAGTGATACTGAAGTGTAATCCAGTTAAATCCTTTCCTCCCCAAGTTGCTTTGGGTCATGGTGTTTCATCACAGCAATAGTAACACTAACTACAAATTGGTACCAGGGGTATTTCTGTGATGACCATGTTGCTTTTGGGAGGATTGTGGAAGGACTTCAGAACTTTGGGCTCAGAAAGCCATTGAGTGCTCAGAGTTCGGTGACCTGCTCTATGGGAGCTTGGAAGATAAGAATGTTTAGAGAAGTGTGAATGGTGGAGGCCTGGCTTGTGACGCTCCAGAGGGAAGTTTGAGAGTCACTTGAAGACTCTATCAGGGATGTTGCATATTTCGAGTTAATAATCTATGGTTCTGGTTATCTAGGGCTGAAATGTTGGCAAGAGACCAGAACCAAAAAGTGAAACTTTTGCTTTACTGGTATAATTGATGCTGGTCAGCCAGTCACCACTGCAGAATTATTAGTGATTAAGAAGAGGCCAGCATCATTGAGGGAAAATCTTCTGGGAAGTATTTCCTCAGAGACTGCATACATTAGCTGTGTTCCAGAGGCAGCCAAGGGTGTACCCCACACTGGCAGCCTAATTTGATAGAGTGTCCCAAGTGGCACTGGCTTTGAAGGCATGAAGGGGTCATGAAAAGGAGCTGAGGTTTGACAATGTAAGAGGCCAAGAGAGGCCATTGGTGAAGATACAGCCCAGGTGCAGTGGTGATGACAACATTTTCAACAGGCCAGTGCCCTGGGAAGAACAGCAGTAGTGGTGGAGTGGAGCTGACTTGAGCTTAGAAGGCAGATGTGTGTGCTGCAGAGGACAGAGCTGGAGAAGTGATCCAAGCCCCTTGGAAGAGTCCAAAAGATCATGAGTGAATCCCTGATATTGGAAATTGTATCATTTAC